TATATTGTGATATTTCTATAATTTCAGTGACTTTGCGAAATATTATACACTGTTAATTGTCATTTCTTTCACCTGTTTCATCAACTATTTTTATCAGTCTAAATTATGGTCAGTTGTACCATCCGCACTGATGAATATCTTATGTTGCATGTCTTACTTTTCACTTGCTCTATCTGACAATAAACATACTTTTAAAACATTGAACTGAGTGTGCAGATATATATATATATGGTATATATTATTTTAAGAATACTTTATTTTTTAGATATGAAGACTTGAACTGTTTAATTAAAATAAAAATATTTGATCAGAAACCTTTTTCTTCCATTTTTTCCACAATCATGTATTGCCACATCACTGTAAATATGAGCCAGGCCATCCTCACCTGCCATCATCCAACCTCTCAGCTGCAACCCTCCAACATCTCAATGCATTTACACATCTGTTTAGCTAAATTTAATCTTTAAACAAAACAGGTGAAATCTAAGATATCCTAAATATCTTTTCATCTTCATTTTTTCAATACAATCTAAGATGCTCTTTGTCCTAAGCCACTATTTATTTACACTTTACTATTTATTACTGCATGACTTTGAATGATATGCCCTGCAAGCCTATATTTCCTGATGGTGCTGTGAGGATGAATAAATGCACTCTAATGCCGATACTAGTGTCTTGCTGAGATGCAGCCTGTCTCCTACAGTTGCCTGGACTGCATCATGGAACATTTTTAGGAAATCATAGTGTGCATGTTTAACTTTGAAAAATGTCCTTTTTAGTCAGATGCCTCAGCTGAGTAACCATATGGTTCCATGTGTGTCTGGAAGTTGTCGGCTAATTCAGGTTTTAATCGAGCAGCATTTCTAATATCCTGAATAACTGGAGGTGGGCATTGATTGTCTCTATATCTTTAACCATAGAGCAAACCATTGATGTTGTTCTTAAATTGTACTGGATTAGAATCTGAATTAGAAAAAATGTGAAGAAAAAAATAAATATATGATGAAAAAGTTTATAAAGATATACTACACTGGGGGAGGAGCTTCTTAAGGGCTCCTTGTTTACAGTACAAGGACACCAAAACATGTTCTCTCTTTGACCTCTAAGATTCCTGTTTAGTCTTTTCTATATACAGTATGTATGCAAGCAACTTATCTGGTTACTGGTAGAAAAAGCAAAGTCTCTATCGCAAAACCTGAACTCTTTATTAAAAAAAAGATCTCACACTTTTTTTTAAATTATTTTCCAAAACAATTGCAATCCCTGGGCTCATGTTGATGTTGATACAGTTTCGTACTTTTTCCTGAGTATTTCCTGCACTGATCAAAGGCCAGCTTAACATAAGCACTGGGTAATTACCACACCATTCAGGGGTAATGTGTGGGGTTGAAAACATTTATGACTGGACCCGTGAGAGGGGGGATTAAGAACAGGATGAGATGGAACAATGCATTATTTTACACCTGGCAATCTGTGAACAGCCATTTCCCGCATAAGCCCTGGGCAGTTGGCTGTGTACACACACACAAAACTTCCCCTCAAGGTGTAAAAACCCCCCAGTAAAGACAGAACTGAGACCCTTAGGAACAAGGATTGTTGATAAAATAGATCACAGCATTTAGACCCAGGAAAGGACACTGACACCAGGGACTCTACATGGAGTAGCAGAAGAAGGCTCCGGTATCATCTTTCTCTTCACCCCCACCTGACATTGGACTCAGAGAAATCAAGGTGGTGGGGGGGAGAATGAGGGAACTATGTTTTTCAAGACATAGACATTTTGAGAAGATCCATCAGAGGAACTACACAGAGGACAGAAGTGGTGGTCTGCATTGCTTTGGCACATATATCGGGTAACTGGTGTCCAGTGGGGTGCTTATGGCTGGTCTTGAATGTGTCTCTTTTAATGTTGTTTCTTTTATAATGCTTTGGTTTGGTTGTCAAATGGACAGTGTTGAATGTTGTTAACCACAATAAAACAAAACAGACGCAAATGTACTAGTGTCTGCTACTGATGTGTGCATGCACTAGTGATTCTGGGAGATAAACAGAACTGTGGCAGTGGAAAAAGGGCCCTAATAATATTTGTATCTATAGGTAGCGTAGTCATGCACTAAGCAAAAATAATTCTTGTTTGAGGGGTCACCTTACTGTGACACTTACCTCCTGGTTAAGACGACTTATTTGCTCTTTTGTTTCTTCAGTCTTTGCCACTATCTCTGCTGAACTCGTTTGGCCTGGATCTGCAAATCCAAATCAACACAGATATCTTTAAGACCTTGTAATTTATGATGTCCTTCATGTTAAGGAGGCATAGTATGCATGATATGATTAGATTTTTCACAGATTTGTTGGCAGACGATAATCAGGTTTCCAGCATTTTTTGGTGGCCACAGGTTGATTGATGTCATACAGTATTTACAAGCATTATTTTATTTCTTATTAAAAAGGTGTTAGATAAAATGTAATGTATTGTACTTTACATTTAATCATCTGAACTTACTGTATATGCACTACACAGAACTATTTTTGCAGTTTTTTAAATGACTAATGTTTATGTAGTCTAATTGTCTATTAACACATGTATTCAATATAAGATCTTGTTACTGACTTTTAAGACTCAATCCAAATTAATCTGGCTCCATCATACATCTTTGAATTCTTTCATATTAACACTTCCTAAAGTAGGTGCTATTCAGTTGAAGCTGGTTCTTTGCTCACTGTATCTAGGACTAAATCATGGACTTTTGGTGATCATGTTTTTTCTTTTGCTGCACCGTTGTTATGAAATGTCCTTACTGTGACTCTATGAGAGACACATTTTTTTACTATTTTCAAATCAAAACTTAACACTCACCTTTCTACTATGGTCTATTTCTGATTGCCTTACAGTGTATCCCATATGTTCTTGTTACATTCCTGTTTCATTTTATTTACTTTTTTATTGTATTTTTTCTCTTTGTCTCCTTTATCACTGTGTTTCCTTAGGTTTGGAAAGGTGTTTTATAAATAAGTGTTACTTTTATATGTGTATTTTTAGGTATTCCATTATTTATTTTAACAATTTATAAAGTATGCAAATTTAGGCTACATTAGGCCAAAAATAGGCTACTGTAAAAACTTTAATATAATGATCCATTGTTTAAGCATGGTGATGCCTCTACCCTTGGGCACCAGATAATTAATAATCTATCTTTCATATGCTGCAATTAAATCTTTGTAATTGAAGTGAAGTAAAGAGGTGGAACTTTAACCATTAGATTTTACAGAACAAAACAATTATAAAAAAGCTTAATAATATTAATTCAAGGACCTTTCTAGGTACTGGACTCCCAGTAGAGTTTTCGTGACAGTGTGGCTGTGTTTTTGTTAATGATCGTGATACACTGGTAGAACTTTAAATACCTTTTCCTGAAGGCTGTCCTTTTGAAAAGTTTAAGTGGCTTTGACGGAACTCTGAGTCTGTATTGCTTTCAGTGCCATCTCCGCCTTCAGTGCCATCCACAATCCTGTGTAAAACAAGAGTGTGCTTGATTCTGGAGCTGAGAAAGAATTTTAAATACCTGCAGTAAAAGCAAAACCTCATACAGTACTTGGTAATTCATACTCACTCTTGGTGTCAAAACAGAAGATGGGATTTTTAGAATTTAACATTAGTCAATGATTAAATCATCAACACCGTGGGAAATATTACAATGAACAAGGTCATGGTAAAGTATCTTTTAATGTAAACAGAGCTGCTTTGGTGTTATTAGTTCCTGTTATTAGTTATTGTTATTTATTTTTATTATGTGTGCTTGTAGGACTATACATTGAGGCATAGGAATACATTGGGTCAAGAGATCAGTGGGGTCTTGCTCTTGTTCTTACAAAGGGAAGCTGCTATGTTTTTTTTTCCACTCGTGAGAGGAGCTTATGTTATCATGATGTCAGGGACCTGGAGGTCTAAGAAAAGGAGTCCAAGAGTTTGGTGTATAGCTGTTCCATGTAAAGTATGTCTGCTGTCTACATTACCTAACATTTTGTGGTTAAATAAAGCCAAGCACTCTGTGATAACAAAATTAAGGCCACATTGTCAGCTAATCTATCTTCATTGCCCACATACTGACTAGTTTTATTATGCTATGAACAGAATCAAAGTAGAAGGCTTCTACAAACATTGAAATGAGACAGAAAATCCTGGGTTCTCTGGTATGTGTCATGCTTATGACAGACCATGGTTATAAATAGTGCCCGTTTTAGAAGATAAAGGAAGTAATAGTTCAAATATATTTTATGCATTTACAGGGAATGACAGTGACAGTGAGTGCAGAAGCAACTAAAATCTGTGATTGCCATTACACAATATGATTTTGGGCTTTATGCATATGCAGGTGATATTTGTTTAAAACCAAATCATTGGCAATGTTTTGCTACTTTCAACATAATCATTTGATTGCTATTAGAAATCAGAAGTACTGTAATTAAACTTTCTAGTGTTTACTACCTTGGACTTAGGTCAGGGGGGCCAATGCTGTTCACTGAAGGGAGGTGAATTTTAAGGTTTTTCCCAAATGTCCTCGTGGTTGTGTGAGATTCCACTTCATGTCTGCCTCTTGCTTCCAGGCCTGAAGTGCACGATCTTGGGGGGGACTTGTAGGGCAGTCTCCCTGAAGAAATGGCTTTCCGGTGGCTCTCAGACTTGTATAACATTTTGCTTTTGGCAGAGGCAGGGGATAGAGGAGTGGTTTCATCTTCCTCTTCCTCTTCCTCATCTTCCTGGTCTTCTATGATTGATGAATGTCGATGATTTATACGACCATTGCCTTTACCTTCTGACTAAAAAGATACATAAGCGAAATATAACTTGCAGGCCAAACAAATGATTGATAGTTTTGCTGCGATCCAGTTTTCATCAATTTTACATTTTTGAAAACAAAGAACAATAGAAGAAGAAACAGTAGCAGTTTAAATAATGTTAATATCCCTCTTCCAATTAACAATTTCCAATCCTGGCAGACAACCAATTTTGATTCAAATACACTTTTTTACCATTTGCAAAAAAGACTGTTTAACTCTTAGAATCTTTTGATCTTAAACATGCAATAGTAACATAAAACCCTTGCTGCTATATCATTATCCTAGTTATGTGCACAGTTGCCTGCTACTTTGTTTCTACATTCCATATGGAGCCCAGAGATATCCAATTAGTATAACTTCTAAATCATTTTTTAACAGGGACCTAAATGTGGCATTCTTTGGCCACATTGTTAAATTTCTCAAGCTATAAAACATGATTAGGATTCAGTTCAGTTTAGTCTTTTTATACTGTATTTATCTATCATTTCATAAAACATTTTGTCCTTAATACTAATATTTTCATATTTTTGTATTTTTAATAGTATGCTCTTATTCTACATAAAACCTTTAAATTTAGATTTAAAAACAATTCCAGCTAATTTCATAGCACATACATATAAAGAAAACAATCTCTAGCACCTTTTAAAACTGTGAATGCAAACTAAACTGCATGCATTATGTTTCAACATATGCTCATTTCGTACACCGAACATATATTATAACTGATATGTTTTGCAAAACTGTCTTAAATAATAATAAATATAAATTAAAGCAGTGATATTCTTTGCTGATTCTGAAGAGCACCAGGGTATCCTGGATGCAGATTAAACTTGAATCAATTGTCTGCTCCACTACCATTAATTAACACTGTTTCTAACACTTTCTAAGTGTTTTAGGAAACTTGTAATTCACTGGAGCTGAACTGAAAACTGAAATGATTTTTTTAACAAAAATATTTTAAAAGTCAAACTTACAACAATCGAAAACAAATATGAAAGACAAATGTGTCTGCGATTTCAAACTTTGCCATTCAAATCCAAAATGCATTACAGTATACACTATTGTATGCAGTGAATCTGTAAATAATAAGATAAATTATTTATCAGTTCACAACATAGATTTGAATCAGATCTTAGGTACAAGTAATCTTCAGATATTTTTTTAGATAACGGAATATGCAGAAACCTGAATTAAAAGTGGTTAACATTATCCGCTCTGAAAGTCAGAAATAATGAAAAATAGCTGACTTGGGGATTGACACTTGAAAACTGAATGAAATGAATCTATGTGATTGTATTCTCTAGATATCTCCTGAAAGTATCTGCATATGTTGTATACTGTACATTTTAATGAGCTTTATATTATCAATCTTGTTCATCAAATTTAATATTATGTCAAGCTCACATTTTCTGACTGTATATTTGTAGCATGGGCATTGTGCTGTAATTGTAATGTTTGTATATCTTTCCTTTTGACACTTGTTAAAAAGATAGCTTTCCTTTTTGGATAATACAAATCAATCTTTGGGACACATTCCAAGAACTGCAATTAGTTTCATAAATGGTCCATTATAACAAATACATTCAATGGCAAAACATCAAAATAGGGAAACTCACTTCAAAGTGTAGCTTAGCTTCATTTATTAAAGAAGAAATGATACTTTGAACAACAAATACCAGGTGTAGAGGGATTACTTTCAGCCTTTCAGAAAAGCCCTGT